TAGCATTCTGATCTACTTCCTTCATCTCTAAATCCTAGATTCTTTCCACTGCCCAGTGGACATCCTGCATCCAAGTAAGGGCTTGATTGTCCACCTTGACCAGATTTGACACATATTCATTAGGCACTTTCTTTGCAAACCTTTGAGCTAGACACTGGCCTGCAGGCAGCTCTGCAGGGTCTGCCTTGATCGGGATTCAACCAGAAAGGTGTTAGGCACAGAAGAAACGGCCTGGCTCTTTGCTTCCCCACGCACTAGTCTGTGTGCATCCACGGGGCTCAGGAACCATTTGGTGAATGAAGAAATGAATGAATGGCTGAATGAATTCTATTTCTAATTCAACATTCACCCTGTGTTCGACAGTGCTCTTGTCAGCTGCTTTTTAATTTTCAGACTTGCAGCTGTTATTATTCTTTTGTCAGGTTGCAGCCCCCTTTGAGAGCATAGTTTGCATAAACACTTGAGAAAATGAAAAGGTGCAACACCCTTGGCTTTCTCAAGAAGCCCCATTGCCCAAGGAGGAAGCAGCTGCCAAGCACTGAGACAATGTACAGAATGAAACAGAAAGCCAGGAGGGCATTGAAACTGTGGGACCCTAAAGAAAGAGAACTAGCAGGCAGCTGGTTTCCTTTCAGTTCATCAGAAGCAATGGAGAGCCGTGAGGAGATGGCTGAATTGGGAGTCGGGAGAGACTAGGTCTCAGTACTGGCCGTGTGACCCTGGGCAAATCACCGGACCTCTCCGTGCCCCCAGACAATTCTGGAAGACTAGAAATGCCGCAAAGAAGGTGCCAACCTGCACTGGCAGAGGGACTTTCCTCACCCATGAGTCCCCATATACTGATGAAATTGCAGGCTAGACCAATAAATAAAGGAATGGAGAAGTATGAATGAATGAATCACTGACATTTCTGTAACACTTTAAGCTTTGCTGACCACTTTCCATATGTGGTCTCCTCTGCCCACACGAATGCCACGTTTAACTCAGCATCAGAGAAGTTGATGTCATAATCCAGGACAGTAAATTTACAATTCTGCCTCCAAAAACTAACACTTCGATAGCACTTTACAAACATTATCTTATCAAAGTCTCACAACCACCCTGGGAAGAAAGTTCTATGATTGTCCTCATTTTACAGAGGAAGAAACTGAGACTCAGTGAGATAAAGTGTCCCACCAAGGGTCATTAGCTAGTGAATGTCTGAGGCAGAGTTCATACCAGTAGCTCCTGACTCCAAAGTCAAAGGCTCCAGAGCTCCACTCTGTTTTCACTAGAACAGCTGATTAATGAAAAACCGACATTCTTGAAAAGTTAGATGTTCTCCAGGGTTCCTCCCAGTTCTAATTTATGAAAGGTTGGAAAGATAAGATAGTACCAGATTGCAGGAGGCTTTGAATACCAGGAAAATGAGTCTGAACCTTACTTTAAATGCAAATGGAAAGCACCAACAATTGTTGAGTGGGAGAATGATATGATTATATCTGTTTTATCAGGAGAATAAGTCTGACGGTATGAAAAACAGATTAGAGTTGGGAGAAATGATCATATATGCTCTTTGGTTCCTGTTCTCAAGCAATGTACATCCTAGCTAAAGAATCCTAATCTCTGAAGCTGACCCAAATGGGGAAGGAAAGACGTAATTTTGATTAATGGAATTGTTGTAAATAAACCAAGACACATTGCCAATAGTGACAGAAAACAACATACGTGACTGCCAAAGATGGTGGGACAATCACATGATGAAAACAAGAAATAAAGAATTTTGGAGCTAGAAGGAAGTTCACTTGGCACCCATAAAATCCAACCACTACCTGAAAAGAAATCCCTCCCCATTATCACATACCCAACAACAGGTACCCCAGACTGCTGAATAACAACAGAGACGATAGATGGACAGTCCAAGGCCTACGGTACCCTAGGAGAGCTAAAGAAACAGAGGAAGGCCTTCAGTGTGCTGGGCATGGAGAATCAAGACAAAGATGTGGACAAGTGTTACACAGGGTGAGAAGGCACTGGGTGAAATCATAGGGTCCCAGACTAGAACTGCAAGGAACTTTAGAGGACATCTGGTCCAAGCCTTTCACTTTACAGATGAGGAAACTGAGGCCCAGAGTGCTCAAAGTCATACCAGTAGTAAGGAGGAGAACCGAGATTTGTATCCAGACCCAACCACTCCTCTCTTTTCTTGGTACCATAATTATGGTTTGCGCCAATGGAGGAAGAGCCCATGCCCATGAGGTCACCATCCATTACATCTCTTAAAACACCATATCAACATCAGTTGGGGATAGGGAATAGAACCAGGACTTCTTTGCTACAGAAAACTCCCAGAGGAGGAGATTCCTTCCACCAAGGCAGGACTGCATTTTCTCAACAGCTTGGAGTCTTAGAGGGTTCTCTAGAACCCTGAGAGACCCCTTGCCCAGGGTCTCAATGCCAGTATGCATCAGAGGCAGGACCCAACTCCAAGGCTGACTCTCTGCTCTTGGTTCAGTATGTCAAGCTGCCTCTCCAAAGTATTCTTATTAGGACCGAAGGAGATAAACTGAATAGCTCCAACGAAATATCTCAATTTACATCAAATGAGATTGATACCTGGTGTCTCTGATGCACAGTAGCTGCCCTAGAGCAGCCCTTAGCATTATTCATGGATCACAAGTACTTCAGTCCCCACCCCGGGAGATGGCAAACTCCTTAAGGGCAGGGCTTCTTTTTTTATTCTGAGAGTCTCACACAATGCCTAGTGCATGGTAGGTGTTTATAAGATGAGGATTCTGGGGGTATGAAGGCACCGCCCCCATTCCCATGCTAAGGCTGTTGAGCATGGCTAGAATGTATGCTCTCATGGATTTGATTCCTTTGCTTTTTTCAAGACTCAGGTCAGGTATTCCAGGAATCCCCCCAATCCCTCCTCAAGGTATCTTGTATTTCCTTATTTCATAAGATCATGGTGTAAGTGGGGTGTTTCACACACCCAATCCTAATAATGTAACTCATAAGCCCCATACCTTTATAAAGCAAGAATATCTCTTTGACTGAATTATAGACTCAATCACCCAAAGGCATTAACCAAGCCCGAACAAGTCATGGCACTCCACGTGAATCAATCAGTCGATCAAAAGCATAAACTAAAGAAGAGGCTTAAAGTACTTCCAGCCATTGGATGAGATCTGATAATGAAATTTATTGGGATTGCTTGAGAGAATCAGACCCCCCACTGGGCCTGGGACTATAAGAAAAAGGATTGAGGCAGTAAAGTAATTAAACTTTGCGGGTGATGAGAAGAGTCAGACCCTTGAGCCAGTAACCAGAAGGAAATGTCATACTCCCCCTGCCCCCATCGATGATGTCATCAGGACGATTGGACCAGTGACAAAACATATATCCAGCAGGAACTGATCAAGGCCAAGCTCCATGTGCTGAAGAAAGTAAGCTTTAGGAAGTGTAACCTGTTCAGGGTAGAAAGAAACGCGTAGCTTCAGGACCCCACAAGGGGACCCTGAGAACACCTCAGAATTGCACGAGCACTCCACGAAGGAGAAAAAGGACGCTGCACACAGGACCTGTTTTACCCCTCTACTCTTTGTGCTCTAAACTTGAGTCCCCTTCCCCCTATTTGCCTCAGTTTCTCGGGGAAAAGAAGGACCACTAAACTTAAGCCTGCTTTCATCTGGTTAAGCTCTGGTTGCCTCAGTTTCCTCAACTGTGAAATGAAGATAATAATAGCACCTACGTCCCAGAGTTGTTGTGAGGATCCGATGAGATAATACTTGCAAGGTGCTTAGCACAGTGCCTGGCACATAGGACCCACTAGATAAATGCTTCTTTCCTTCCTTCCTGTATTTTGTATATACTTGTGGGAGGGCATGAGCCAGACTTCTAGGAGGATATTTTTGGACCAACTGTTCTTCCACTTGAGTAAAAATTCCTCTTGAAAAACTTAGGTCTAATTTGCTAATCCATATTGAGAAGCACACCAGATGGGGGCTTGTGTGTAACAGTACTCGCTAACTATCCTCCCCTGCCTCAGCCCATCAAGGTTACCTCTAGAATCCTGAGGAGAAAAGTAGTTAGCTACCCTCTGGGGACCCAAACATTGCTAGTAGGAGTGAAGACGCAGCCTCAGAGGAGGGATTGTAGTCAGAGCTAGAAGAAACTTCAAAGGTTAAATAGGGGACAGCAAATGTGTTACAGAATTTGGGAAATCTGAGTTTAAAAATCCCAGCACTTAACCTTACTCCCAGTGTAACTTTAGGCAAATTATGCAACCCTTCTGGCCCTCAGTTTCCTCACCTGTAAAGTGAAGGTACTGGGCTAGATGTCTCTAAGGACCCTCCCAGCTCTCTAACCTAGGAACCTGGGAGACTCGGTAACAGGGATGATGAATGTTTGGTAATATCATCAGGAACCAAAACATCGGACAATTCGTAAAATACAAAATTTGACTTATTTTCTGCTTTATTAAACTCTCCAGCCTCCCCCCCACCACCCCTTCTACCCCACAGCCCAAGTGACTGAGATCACAACACACCTGGGGTCATCACTTGCCAAATTACAGCCTGAGATTGGAGCACAGTGAGAAATGAGTCTATCAGCTCCCAGTTACTCCCACCAACATAACGAGAGCCATCTGCTCAGGCAAAGAGAAACTTGTGACATTTGTCCTGGGTCTTTTATGCAAAAGTCGTCCTTCTCATTTCTGGCTAATGTGTGAGAGAGAATCTTCTTTTTAAAGAACTGTTTCTTGCTCTAACTCCCATACTGGAACCTCTGTCTGCAGACCGACCCTTCCGAGCCACATCTCTAGTTCCCTGCAGGGCACCCCTCCCCCACAGTCCACCACCAGTGCCCCAAACCCGAATCAGTCAAGACCAGTCCTTCCCCACCCAAGTCTGCTACTCTCTCATCTTCCGATTTCACTCTTGGTTCCAGGAACACTCACTCATCTGTCCATGCTCACTATTTCGGTGTCATTCTCGATCTCTTCTCATTCACCTTACCTCCCACATTCAATCCAGGATCAAATCCTCCAGATTTTGCCTCTGTGGTATTCTCTCGGCTACATCCCAACAGCCATCCTCCCAGAAGGAGCCCCGGCTATCACCTGCCTGATATCTTCCAAGAGCCCCCCAAGGGGTCTTCTGCACTCTATTTGTTCCACTCTGCAGTCCCTCATCCACACAAATGCCTAAATTTCCTCATGCATAAATCCAACCATATCTTCTACTCAAACATTCTCAGTGACTCCCTACCACCTAATAGGTAAAAGTGTAAATTCCTCAGCCTAATAATCAGTGCTCTCCACAAGCTGGCACCACCTGACATTTCTAGTCTTATCTCATATTGCCAGCTTCATAACTAAGAAAGGGCAAGTGGGACCTCACCATAGGTGCCATCGTTGAAAAGGCGGTGGCAGCACCTGAAGTCCTTCGAGAGAGTAGATTTGACAGAGCTTGGCACAAAGCCAGGATGAGCAGATCTCGGGATCATAGGTTTCTTCCCATTGGCCACCACATGCTAGGTGAGTTCCTGGTCACCCCAGCCCATCACGATCCCCATGCCCCCCTGCAACCTCCAGAGCACCAGCATCATGGTGTCTCACATCTCTTCCCAAATTGAACTTGTCTTCAAAAGTTGGCTTGCAGCTGATGATGCTACTTTCTCACAGTGCAAACTGCTAGGTTAAGTTCTCTATATCAGAGCTCTCCACAACCTCTTCATTGTTCAGTCCTTTTTCAGTTATGTCTGATTCTTCGTGACCCCATTTGGAGTTTCCTTGGCAGACATACTAAAGTGGTTTACTATTTCCTTCTCCAGCTCATTTTACATATGAGGAAACTGAGGCAAACAGGGTGAAGTGACTTGCCCAGGGTCACACAGCTAGTAAGTATCTGAGGCTGGATTTGAACTTAGGATGATGAGCCTTCCTGACTCTAGGCCCACCAATCTATCCACTGGGGCACCCAGCTGCCCCACACTCTCTACAATCCAGTTAAATCAAACTATTCTGTCCCCAAAACATACCCTGTACATTCCCACCTTTGTGACTTTGAGGTGTTGTTCCCTATGCCTGGAATATGAACCCCTAGTTATCTTACTGAATTCCTACCCATCCTTTTCTAAATTATAAATTACATTGTCCCTCCCAAAAAAAACTTCATAGAACCAAAGCAATCTCAAGCATCTTTATCACTTCATATTTATCAAGGGTCCCAGGAAGTAAGAGTGGAAAGAAGTCTCTGAACATACCCAGACAGAAACCAGAAGTTGAAGGAGCCCCTTGGGATTTCTCCCATGCCTGCAGATGCCACTGTAAAAATGATAATCTTGAAGACAAAGGAGACAGTGACGGTGAGACAGTCCAGTGCCACAATTAGGAGAGAAACAACGTAACAGGGTACCTCACCCGCAGCCAAATGTGGTTTGTCTGTGGCCTGGGTTCTTAACCAGGACTCCACGAGCATCTTTGCTAAAAACTCTATATTTTAATAATTGTATCTCAATATCACTGGTTTCCTTAGTAATCCTATGCATTTTATTTTATACATTTAAAAAAGTTATTCTGAGACGGCTCTGTAGACTTCACCAAGCTGCCAAAGAAAACCATGACACATGCAAAAGATTAAGAACTGTCCCCTACTCCCTTTAGTTTGTTTGGTTTTTGCATTTCAGGTCACATTGCCCTTCCCCCAAGTGCTCAGTATTTCATGCTGCTTCTCTAGGCAGAAGGGGAATGGGTCAGTCAATGTTGGTGACTTTGGTTCCCTTCTCAAGGAAACCCACTCAAACAAAACCTCCGGGAGAGGACAAGCAGTCTCAGAGTGCTGGAGCTTCAGGTGGTTTTGGTGGTGGAAGATGTCGCGATAAAGGAAGTCTCAGTTGTTGGTGCAGTAATGGTGGTAACAACAATAAAGGCCACCATTTATCTAGCTCTTGGAGGTTTGCATGGCAGGTAGGAGAGGGCTGGAATATATTACAAATGAAGAATTGCTCTGGGAATGTAAAAGGTGCCATCAGAAGACTAAGCGACTGGAAAACCTAGAAGGATCTATCATATAGCAAGAGTAAAAAGACAAGTCAAGTCAAGAAGCATTCATTAAGTACCTACTGTGTGCCAGGCACTGTGCTAAGTGCTGAGGATACAAAGAAAGGCAAAAACAGGCTCTGCCTTTAAGGAGCTCAGAGTCTAATTAGGGACATAATGTGTTGCCAACCACATACAACTGGAAAACCACCAGCATCATGATTCATTGGTATCCACACAACATCAAAAGGACTAGAGAAACTTCCCACATGTTTTTCCTGGTGTCTCCTCTGACTTAATTTCCAGAGAGGCCATTCAAAATTCTTTAACTTTTCCCCCAAGAATTGCGACATTGGGCATGGAGGATTTACTGGAGAATATGTGGACAAAAGTTGCCCAGAATGGTGGGAAAGGATGCGTTGAAGCCTGTGTTGCTGGATGGAGTGCCCCCATCAATGGGCTGCCAGGTGCAGCCAAGTCTGGGGCTCATAAAGTCTTTGATACACAGTGATCTTTGCTCCTTACTGCAGCCTTGTGAAGTGAGTATTATTATTATTTTGTCAATGAGGAGACTCAGAAAGGTTATTTGTTCATGGTCACATAGCTAAGCCAAGGGCTTTCTAGACTGAATCCCATATCCTTGTTGCTACGCCATGCTGCCTCATAGATATTGGGCACTTCTGAGTTCATTCTTTGGGGGTCTCAGAGTAGAAGGCACTTAAAATCATGCCATAGAGAACTAGATCCTCTCTGTATTGGTGGGACATCCATACTTGCTGCAGCCATAGTGTCCACAACTGTCCCTGCTTATTTCATACTTTATTATTAAAAGTGTGATAGGACCATTCTAATTCATTGTCCCTTGGCAATCCAGGTTCATCTGGTTTGTGGAATGTTTGAGACACCCCATGGGGTAAATGAAGACACTCTGTGGTCTGGGCAGGTCACAGGGTTGGGGATCTCAGTTCTCAGTCTTCCTGGACGGTGTTTTCCAGAAACCTTAAATAGCTATCTCCCAAAACACATGGGCTTTTAGTCAATAATGAAACACCAGGGAAAAGGGGGGACTCCATGTGAATAGGTTAGAATCTGGCCAAAGGAGAAGTCCCTTCTCTTCTCTCCTCTCCCTTCCTCACCAGGTATTTTCATTTTTATATACCCCATGACTATTTCTTGAGCCCCATGAAACATTCTTAAAATTCCAAACTTTGCTAAGTCTTTTGGGACACCCTGTATTTCAGCTTGGTCAATAATACGACCAATATCCATTTCTTAAATTAAACAATGCAGAGAACATTGACTGTCATTCAAAAGATGGATATGGGAACAAAGAGGTAGAGAGCCAAGGCTAACCAACAGACAGACAAAGTCCTAACCTGTTACCCACCAAATGGCAAGAGACCCAGTAGCAGGCCTCCATCTTGGGCACACCTTCCACACAGAGAATGGAGGATGACAAGAGATCATGGACAAAAGTCACTGAGGTTAGAAGTGGATGACTGTGAGCTACTCCATTGTAGGGAGTTCTCACAGAGCACAGAACTGGAGAGCTTGAGAGGGGATCAGTGACCGTCTTAGGCCAAGGCATACCTGAAAAAAAGTCTTCTCTAAAATATACTAGACAAGTGGCCGTCCAGCCTTTGTTTGTAGGCCCCCATTCAAGGGAGAATACACTGCCTCCCAAGACAACTTAATCCATTTCTTGATGGCTGTATTTATTAGGAAGGCTCTCCTGACATTAAGCCTAAACTTGCCTGATGTTGCAACTCTTGGGGAGAAAGTTAAAGAATTTTGAATGGTCTCTCTGGAAATTAAGTCAGAGGAGACACCAGGAGACTAGGGAAGGAGTGAAAAGTGACCCAGCACAACAAGGATGGCCTAGCCCAAGGAAGAGCGGTGCAGGCAGTGATGTAAGAGGAACCAGCAGTTTGAGAAGAACGCTGACCAGGTTTCTTTGTTTCTTCCGCTGTGACAGATGTCCCAAGAAGCAGAGATTTAGATAAGACACAAGGAAGGACTTTCTGACCGTGAAGAACTCTCACTAGAATGAGTTCCTGATGGAGGTTATGAAATCCCTTCCTGAAGATTTTTAATGGCATTATTTTCTTTTAAAAATGTCAAATCAGAGGGCAGACGAGTAAAGTGCTTTGTGAACCAGAACATGCTCCCTCCGTGGGAGCTGTCCTTAAGAATAGTTCTTCTGGAGTGGGCTTTTCCATTCTCTGGTTCCGTATTCTCCTTTGGGCCAGACCTGTGGTTTCACGGATTTGGAGAGGGTGTGGAAACACCCTCCTGATCCAGATCGGCAACTTGCCATGGAATTCAGAATGCTAGGGACGTGCCTGGGAGCTCTGTGAGATTCAATCCTTCCCTAGGCTCACACAACCAATAAGGATGGGGGCAGAATTCAAGTCCCAGTCCTCCTGACTTCAACACTGGTCTTCTCTCCACCACGTCTCTCCTTGCTGGGACTAATAGAGAAATGTTTACAGAACTACAGGGTCTCGGGCACTGTTTTATCCAATGCATTCCCGACCAGGAAGCCCCTCAACAACGTCCCAACCAATGCGCACGTCCAGCTCCATCACTGACTTCTAGTCCCAGTTCTAAGGTCTCCCTCTCTATTTACTCACACAACACACACTCTTTATTTTTTTGTTTTTTCGGTTAGGCAGTGGGGTTAAGTGACTTGTCCAAGGTCACACATCTAGTAAGTGCTATGTGTCCGAGGCCAGATTTGAACTCGGGTCCTCCTGAATCCAGGGCCGGTGCTCTATCCAATGTGCCACCTAGCTGCCCCAACTCACACTCTTTAAAGTCAATTTTGTTCTGCTAAAACTGGGGAGAGGGAGAATATCCAGGAAAGTTACTTCCAACTAGAGCAGAATTTCCCATAAAAAACTTGGACAGAGCAAAGGTCTCTGTGAACACTGGCATTCTTCCTCCGACTTGCAGCAGACAGGTTATTGTCACACTTCTGTGAATGCTCTCATCAGGTCATCAGAGCAGCACCTGTTGTCGTCTGCCAGAAAGGAAATAACATTAAAAGGGGAAAGCATGGTATGTTTCCTTCTCAAAACTGGGGGTTTATGCAAAAGACAAAGTATGGTCAGCTTGGAATGGGGAAGAGCTGAGTTCGGGCCCCCCACCTCTAACACTTACTAACTGTGCGAC